AAAACCCCAGTGCCCGGCACTGGGCTCACGGCTCCTGTGTCCTCCTGTCTCTGCCCGCCACCCAGCACCAACACCCCTCTTAGAGCGCATGGCAGCCCCAGCTCCTCAGCTGTCCCGTGGGGGGGTGGAAGAAGCGTTGAGTGAACGCGTGAAGGAGGCCTGAGTGACTGCAGCCGTGTCAGGGACCCCCACCCCGAGTCTCAGAGCCCCAGGGCGGCCAAGCAGTCCTCTGGTCGGAGGTGAGTGCTGGCAGTGTGTGCAAAACCAGCTCTGCAGCTCCCTCTCCCGCCGACTGTAAGCTGTGTCTGCTCTGCAGACACCCACCAGTGCTGGCTGCTGGCCCTCGCCGGATGGTGTGCCGAGGCTGTGCCATTGCTGACACTGCCCTGAGCATGAGCGTCCACTCAGGTTTCCCACACTTGTTCCCTGTGTCGCTGTCTTTACTCCCTGGTTGTCCCAGTCAGTTTTCCAGGGTGAAGCACTACACTCCCCTTGAAATTCTCTCCATCTGTGAGCATTCACCTTCCTTCCCTTTGCTTCTTTTTCTTTGGACTATTAAGTCAGGCTCTGTGTAGCCCCGGCTGTGCTGAACTTCTCTCTGTAGACCAGGCTGACCTTGAACCTGGAGACTGTCCTGCCTCTGCCTCCTGAGAGCTGGGGTTAAAGATGTGGGCCACCGCTGCCTGGCCTTTTTTCCTGTTCTTTCTTTTTTTTAAAGACAGGACTTCACACTGTAGCCAAGGCTACCCTTAAACTCCCAATAACCCTCCTGCCTCAGCCTCCAGGAACTGGAGAACAGGTGTGAGGCCCTGGGTTGGCTTATCTTACTTTCCTTGAGCCTCTGAGAGTAAACTAATCATATGTGGAAACACATGTGGAACAATTAGAAATCTGGGGACAGGGCACGCTGGGCATTATACCCAGAGCCCTGAGCACACCAAACACATTCAACCATTAAGTCACACCTCCAGCCCCTAATTCCAAACATGTACTGGCGCACACCTGTCATCCCAGCACTCACGAGGCAGAGGCAGGCGGATCTCTTGTGAGTTAGAGGCCAGCATGGTCTACAGAGCAGGTCCAGGACAGCCAGGGCCACCCAGAGAAACCGTCTGGAAAAATCAAAACCACCCTCCAAGAGGTACTGCAGAGCAAGCCTTGCCTCCCTGCTTTGCTCCTCCCTGCCAAGGTTCTGGCTCCATCTTTTCCTCTGTTCACAAACTACCTCTGGACAGCTGTTTTTTGTTCAGTGCTCACTGGTAGACACCTGCCTCTGCTGCTTCCACCAGCACCAACATTTATCCTCCTATTTTGCCTGCACTCTCCTCCCCAAGACACTCTAGGGAAAGGGAGCTAAGGTGCAGCAGGCTGGTCACCCACTACCCCGCACCAGGGACGATGAGGCCTGCCTCGTGGATGCTGCAGCTGAGTGAGGAGGGCACCCATTTGATGGGAAAGTGGGTAGGCCCACCGTCTCCCCTTGTTCCATGTGTGTGTTGCCAGTGTTTGTCCTAGCCTGGGGGAAACCTCTATTTGGAGTTACTCGAATAAAAAACAAAACAAAACAAAAACAAAACAAACAAACAAAAAGCTGGAAAAAAAATGGCTGGTGAGATGGCTCAGAGGTTAAGAGCATGATCTGCTTTTCCAGAGGTCCCGAGTTCAATTCCCAGCACCCACATGGTGGTTCCCAACCATCTATAGTGAGACCTGCTGCCCTCTTCTGGCGTGCAGGTGTACATGCAGGCAGAATACTGTATACATAATAAATAAACCTTTAAAAACAAAATTCAAAATGTGAATGTAGTAAGTGATATTTGGGGTTTAGTTTTTGCTGGGCATCATCTACAGGAAGGAGGTCAGAGTTCTTAGAAGCATCTACTAAAGCAAAGAATCAGTGGAGGACTATTAGTCCAGGAGTTTTCTCCTTGTGAGGCGACTAAGCAGTGTTTGCACTGGTTCTCTCCAGGGTCCCAGCGGCGAACCTGGGACTTTCTGTTGAAAGCTCCCCTTGGGAGCCTATGACGGAGTGAAGGGCATCTTAGCAAACACTTTATTACAAACACTGTCCCATTCCTGGGTGATTTGCTTAGAGCGCTGCTGCGATCCTCCAGTCTTGAGGCTGGTCTCGTGACTCCACAGTCCCGCAGAACTGGTCTTGCCGTGCCTTACCCTGTCCACACCCCCTAGTGGCACTGGGCTCTCCTCTTCATCATGCAGATGGCAGGCCTTTGCACTGGCAATTAAACCACGCCGAGGATCAGCTGGCCAGAGAGAAGTCAGGGTCGCCCTCCACAGGTGAGCCTGGAGTTCAGGGCGAGCACAAAGACTCCCACTGCCGGAATATCCGGAACACTTTCCGTGACTTTTCTGAGAGACTCTGTCGGCAGAAAAGCTCATTATTAGAATCACATTCTCTGACAGAGACGAAAGATGGGTAGAGCTTTAGGGCTGCCTTGGTAAATGTTCTTGGCTATGATCAGGGAGGCATATCAACTGACTAAAAACTCATTTGATGTTATGCTATAGAAATAATGTACAGCAAGAGTCAAACAAATCAAGGAGCCTGTGTTCTGCGGACCACTGCTAACTACTTCACACTGCCCCTCCCTGTCCCTGCTCTGTCCCTGTCGGGTGGCAGTCCTGACCCACCCTGGGTGCGGCTCGCTCCGACTGGCCTTTACCCAGGATGTCTAAGTGGACCTGGTAATCCCCAATGCACAAAGCCTTATGTGGTATCCAGCTGGGGTCAACCGCACCATCAGCATCTGAGAAACAAAACTGAATGACCCCCGAAGAGTTTAAGCTTGACCTCACTCCTTGGCTTCAGGTTTCAGTCAGCAGAACTGCGAACAGAAAGGCTCTCCCTGCTCCTTGACCACCCCTAGGAAACATCTGAGATTCTAAGAAATGGCTTCGGAGACAGAGCAATTCAGTAAAGATGAAGGTCTCAGTCCATCGGACACCCGGTTCTACTGGCCCTTGACCGACACTGAGTGGAGACTCTGCCTGGCCGTGGGCTCAGTGATACGAAGGGGAATTCAGCTGGATGGCGATCCCTCAACTTACAAAACACCATTTCCACTGCCTCTCCTTCTTTATGGATTTATTGTTTTTTCTGAGACAGGGTCTTCCTGTGCAGCTCTGGCTGTCCTGGAAGTCTCTCTGTAGACAAGCGGGGCTTGAACTCACCGAGATCCACTCTCCTGCCTCCCAGTGCTGGGAGTAAAGGTGCGCACCATTACGCCCGGCCCCGTTTTAGTTTTCAAAATCCTGTTTATTTATTGGCATGTGCGTGCCATGATGTGTGTGGAGGGCGGGGACAACTGCAGGACCTACAGGAGCTGGTTCTCCTACCTATGGTACCAGGACCGAGCTCTGGAATCAGGCTTGGTGGGAAGATGCTTGGCCAGCAGAGCAGGGCTGGCAATGGCTCAGCGGCTAAGTGCTTTGCTGCTCTTCCAGAGGACCCACGCTTGGTTCCCAGCACACGCATTAGGTCCCTCACAACCATCTACAACTCCAGCTCCAGCACACATACCTACATGCAAATGCATGAACGCACGTGCGCACACACCCCGCGCCTACATTAAAAATAAATCTTTAAAACAAAAGAAAACATGGGGTTAGAGAGCTGGCACAGCGGTTAATGCCACTTGTTGCTTTTGCGGAGGACCTGGATTCAGCTCACAACCATCTGTAATTCCTAGGCATTCACACATTGCATATTCATACACAAAAACTAAACATAAACCAAATATTTTTGAGACAGGGTTTCTCTGTGTAGCCCTGGCTGTCCTGGAACTCATTCAATAGACCAGACTAGCCAGGAACTCAGAGATCCACCTGCCTCTCTCTCCTGAGTCCTAGAATGAAAGGCGTGTTCATGCTCAGCTAAAATAAATCTTAAAACAATAAAACCCCCACAAAAAATGTATCTTCTTTTTGGTTATTTCAATAAAGTAACATTCCAGAACAGAAGTCTGTACCAGGACCCAGAGGACTGAGGAAATTTACCCGCTTTACCGACAAAGCTGAGAAGGCAGTGGAAACCCTGTTCTTCCCCACTTCTCCCCACTAAGCCTGTCACCCAGGCCAGCAGCCAGGCAAAAAGACAAACCGCCAAAAAGGAACTTAAAACCCCAAACCCGGGGCCAGCTATGAGTCAAGCCTGCAACCTGCCCTGTGGCAAACCCAGTGAGGCCTCTTTTTAGTATCTGAAAAGGACAGCGACAGATGGGGTCTTCTGTTGCTGATGTCAAGACAGGTCTCACTATGTCACCCTGACTGGCCTGGAACTCACTGTCTAGACCACACTGGCCTCTGACTCAGAGATCTCCCTGTCCTGCTCCTCAGAGCGCTGGGACTAAAGGTGTGTGCTATCATGGCTGGCACTACAGAAGCATCTTATAAAACAAACAAACCAACCAACCAACCAACCAACAACCCCAAACCTTTCCTGACCTTGTGGCCAGGGACAGATTAATCTTTCCGCTTTTGAGGGGCAGGCCGAGTATTTGTGTTTCTGGTGGTTGTGCTGGAGGGCGGGCCCTGGGCACAGGCCAGGCCTGGCCTCCAGCCTGTAGCCCTGCTAAGCCTGAAGAGGGCTGGCACTCAAGTGCGCAGAGCCACGTCAACCTAAACCCCACACACCCTCACACATGCATCTAGGCATTCATGGACGTATTTAGTGTGGGCGCGTGTGTGCACGGCAAGCATGTGGAAGTGAACTTGCTGGACTCCGCTCCTTCCTTCCTGGCTGGCTTCAAGGTATTGAACTGAGGTTGTCAGGGTTAGCAACAAGCTCCCTTACTGACCCGTTATGCTAGGCCCCGACCTAAATATTTTTAAGTTAAAGGAAGACAGACAGACTGACTGACTTTGGAACCCTTTCCTCTGCTTATACAGTGCACCAATCATAGACTTTGTTGGGCGTCTGGCATATTAGAGCTCCCTCTGGTGGAAACCTGTGATCTGACCACCATCAATTTGGAACTCTGAGAGGCAAGTATTTTTTACTTAGTCTGTGACAGGCACAGAGGTCAGAAATGTCTCCATTTATGCCAGGCTGTGAGCAAATGTGGAGCTGAGCCGGGAAGACACAGAGCCGGCTCTCTGGATTCCTTTGTCTGCCCTCTGGCTTTCATTCTTGTTCCCAGGTATGTCTGCTGGCTCTGCATTTACCCGGTCAGTAATGGCAGCAGTCCTGGCTGTGATCTCACACTGGCCAGAGCATGTGCCCAGGCTGGGAAGAGTAAAGTAACATGCTGGCACTGGAAATGAAGCCATGGTTTGGTACCAGGGTACAGAGCTCCAAACAGCTAGGTAACGGGGCAGCCTCCAAGGGCAAGTGACGGGGCCTGACAGAGGCGCTGTGCTCAGCCCCAGCCCAGGCAGCTGCCGCCTATCTAGTCTGTTTCTGTATTCCTCTCCTAGTCACTCCAGCTGCAGGAACAAAGGATTTGCCAGGAAGACCGAACCACTTCTGTGCTTTGCTCCTGAAGCCGGAAGGAGCTTGACTTAGGAGAGCTGAAACAGGCGAGTGCTCAGTGCAGGCCTCTGTTGCTCAGCCCCGAAGCAGCAGGTGCTGCCCTCACGGAGAGCTGAAACAGGCGAGGCTAAGTACAGGCCTCTGCCGTTCAGCCCCGAAGCAGCAGGTGCTGCCCTCACGCTGGGCCATGCCATCTCACCATAGAGTCCACCTCATCTGGCTGGGCAGAACGCTTCTGGGCCAGCAGGATGGTCAATGCGGCCTTCCAGCCTGGCTCTGCTGGGGCGCTGGCATCCACCTCCGCTTTCCCATTCTCCCTGGTTTCTTTGACAAGTGTGACGTCCACCCAAGGGCACCAATCTCTATGCTGAGAGGTGGGATTAAAGAAGCTTCGGGCAGACGTGTCCTGAGAGAGGAAGAGAGACAGGGTGTTAATGAGGTCTGGTTGGGGAGGCACTACTCAAGGTCTGAACCACACAGCTGCCTTCAACACCTAGCTCTTCTTTATTAGCACTATTACCTCACTTTTGTTATTTTAAGATAAAAGTCATGCTATGTAGCCAAGGCTGCTCACTCTCCTGCCTCAGCCTCCTAGGTATGCTCTTTCCCTTTCCTCCTCCTTTAGATCTCCAACCTTGCTCGTTTTCTGATGAGACAGTGTGTGCCAGTATGCTGCCCAGGACGGTCTTGCATTGCACTTCCTATCCTCCTCAGCCTCTGGAGGACTGGGGTGACAGTGTGAGCACACTACAGCCTTCTTACGTGTGGGTAAGAACGTCCTGAAAAGCGCTGGGAGGGCACAGGAAACAACCCGGGGATGGACAGATGGTACTGCATGGTGTTAAAAAACTTGATACAAAGGATCACACAAGACTGGGAACATGGGAACCAGCAGAGGGAGAAGAGGATGCCAGAGGAAAGGGAGGAGGAGGACCACAAACAGAGAATGAAAATGCCACATGATGGGCTGGAGAGATGGCTCAGTGGTTAAGAGCACTGTCTGCTCTTCCAAAGGTCATGAGTTCAATTCCCAGCAACCACATGGTGGCTCACAACCATCCATAATGTGAACTGATTCCCTCTTCTGGTAGGTGTGAATGCAGATAGAACATTCATATACCTAAAATAAATAAATCTTTAAAAAAAAAAAAAAAAAAAAAAAAAAAAAAAAAAAAAAAAAAAAAAAAGAAAATGCCACATGAAACCCACGACTTTGTACGTTACTCTAAAAAACAAGCTGGGTATGATGGCACAGGCCCTTTAATCCCAGCCCTTGGGAGACAGAGGCAGGCGGATCTCTGCGAGTTTGAGGCCAGCCTGGTCTATATAATCACCCTGTCTCAAAAAATAAAAACAAACAAAAAGACAAAATAAGCTACCTGCCCGATACGGTGGGTCAAGCCTATGATCCCAGTGCTGAGGCAGAAGGATTGCCGTGAGTCCCTAGGGTACACAGTTCCAGGCACACTGAGCTATGAGACCCAGCCAGGAGGGGGAGAGGAAGCCCAAAGTCTCCTTGATCAGCTCTGCTGCCCTACTGCACGCTGTCTGGTTGGTCTCAGTATTTACGAGCTCTCTAGACCCACGCCAAACCTTTCCCTCTGATCAGCTGTCTCTCTGAACCTGGACGGCAGCGCCTGAACACTGAGCTGCCTCCCCAGCCCGTGAGGTCTCACACGGAGGCTGGCCCGACACAGGCAATGCCGTCTCTGCCTCTCAGGGGCTGGGTTACAGCGTAGGAGCTGTGTCCCATCTCTGAACTCACTGAGCCGCTGGATGAGCAGAGGCGGGCGCGCTTGGCTTTCCGAAGAGGGCTGGAGGGAACGTCCAAGCCGGAGGAATCTCCAGTTCCCATGCTCCGTGTCACTGGGCGGTTCCGGGTGCTGGGGCTGGCTGCCTCTGACTCAGGCCGGTCAGCAGGATTGCAGGAGTCCCAGCTCCGAGTTCGGGAGACAATGGGACCTGGACTTTTTTCAGACTGAAGAAAAAGAAAAGCATATGAAGGATGTTAACAGTTTTGGCCTGAGTACTCCTGGAAGCATATGAAACATAGTATTTTAATTTGTAGAATGAATGTAGTTTCTCAACTGCCTACATAACTAAATTCTTTAAAGAATGTTGTCATTCTATACTTAGCTTTCCATAATGAATTTAGCTTCTCCGTTTGTGATGGAAACGTGATAGCATGTCTTCCTGGTGGGGTTTGAAAGGAGGCCTGCCACGACTTTCCACCCTGCTGCTAGCTGGCACGCCAAGGAAGCTAGTACCTGCTCCGAGCCTGGAGAGGCGGTAGTATCCTGGCTCCGCGTCATCATGCGCCTGGGAGACTCAGGCACCAGAGGGATGTGCTCAGGCCGGCCCTCTGCACTTGGAACGGGGGAGCTGGTCGGGCCAAAGGAAGCATCCAGATCTGTCACAGATGATTCCATCTGCTGAAAGCCCCAGAGGCCAACCTTCCTCGTGCACTGGGAACAAGTTACCAGGGAGAGCTGTGTAGGCTCCACAGAGCTAGGAAGGAACAGGAGAGAAAGCGCTGTCTCCAAAGGCGACACTTGCACGTGACTAAGTAGAATGACTGCTGTCTTCTCTCAGCAAACAGCATCGACTGTGGACCCGTGGACCGTGATCCATGAACTCTCAGGGCCTGGGTCTTAGGACCCGACCTTCAGCACTCCCACGTCACCTTCTCAAAGAAGTCTAAGGGTCTATGTTCTTGCTGCAATGCTGTGAAGTATGTTTTATAAACTCCTGATCCTTTTTAAACCCTTTCCTCAACCTACCAAAGCAATGAATTACTTATTTTGTGTGTATGAGATAGGTCTCACTCTGTAGCCCAGGCTGGCCCCAAGGTCAGATAAATCCTCCAAGTACTGCGATCACAGGCCCGCACACGCTCCCCCACCAGTCAGCAGCAGGAAAGCTTATTTAAAGTAAATGGTGGGGCTGGAGAGATGGCTCAGAGGTTAAGAACACTCACTGTTCTTCCAAAGGTCCTGAGTTCAATTCCCAGCAACCACATGGTGGCTCAAAACCATCTATAGTAAGATCTGGTGTAAATGCAGAATGTTGTATAAATAATAATAAATAAATCTTTAAAAAAAATAAAGTAAATGGTGTGTGGCCCATCGCAGTGCTAACACACACCTCTAATCCCAGCACTCCAGGAGGCAGAGGCAGGCAGGTCTCTGTGAGCTCAAGGCGCGCCTGGTGGACCAAGCGAGCCCAGGACAGCCAGCCACCACAGCCAGCTTGTTGCTGACTCTTAGCCACCTCTCTCCTCCCTCCGTACTCTACCTTCTCTTTTCGCGCTCCCGGGAAACAGCAACAGTGCCTGCTGACAGCCCAGCCCTAGCCGCGTTCGCTCACCTCCACGCCCAGCCGCACAGAGAGAGCACACACGCGGTGGCGTGCACTTGGGCGTCGGAGCCGAGCCTGCCCGCAGTCTTCCTGCCCTCAGCTTGGCCATCGAGCTCACCGTGCAGCAGGTGCAGCAGAGCGCCGAGCTCGTCTTCTGTCAGGCACTGCAGAGCGAGCGGACTGGAGTCAGGCATGCCTCAGCCACACAGAAGGACAACACAGCCACACGCCTGGGCCGGGGACTACGCCGGTGTCGCACAGGCGCTTCCTGAACTGAAGAAGCAGGCGGCAGCAGGTCCCCTGTAAGCACTAAATGGCTTTCACTGTGCCATCTGTAGAATTGATCTGAACCTTGGGAGGTTCAAACCAAACGATGGAAAGATTACTATTCGTGTCTTGGCCTAACGCTGAATATACTTTTGACAGAACAAACTGACAGCCTTCATTTTTGGCCTGTGGGTGGTCCGGTGTGGGTGGGCGGGGCTGCCTTGGAGAAGGGCAGGCTGACATTTATAAGAGCCAACAGGGGTAACTGCTTAGTGCTGGAAGCCCTAAACTGTGTGGCCGTGAAGAAGAAAAAGATGAGTATTTGCTGCCGACAAGCCAGGGTGTCCTCACAGCAGACTCACAGGCTGGGAACAACAGTGAACAGTCAACCACAGAGAAGGAGAGCACAGCTGCACTTCTCACCGCCACAGGAGAACCTCCTGTCCCGTCACAGCTTGGAAAATGGTTTGCAACAAACAGTTTAAGTGTCAAATTAAGACCAAAAAAGCAGGGCTGGATTTGGGGGCAAGGCCTTTAATCACAGCACTCTGTAGATAGAAGTAGGTGAATCTGAATTCCAGGGAAACCTGGTTTGCGTAATAAATTCCAGGTCAGCCAAAGTTAAGGAGCCCCGTCTAAAAAAACCAAAAAAACAAGAAACAAAAAACTGTTTAAAGATGTCTAATTGTGGGCTGGAGAGATGGCTCTGAGGTTAAGAGTACTGGCTGCTCTTCCAGAGTTCCTGAGTTCAATTCCCAGCAACCACATGGTGGCTCCCAACCATCTATAATGAGATCTGGTGCCTTCTTCTGGCCAGCAGGTATACATGCAGGAAGAAAACTATAAATAATAAATAAATCTTTAAAAAAAAAAAAAAAAAGGGAGGAAAAAAGATGTCTAATTGTTTACACAGAAATCACTTACGCTCTCAACTATTGCCTTTCTGGCAGAGACTGAAGCGCCAAAAGAGAGATGGCCTTTCTTCTCTGCATCCCCTTGTGGTCAAGGAAAGGTGCATGTCCAAATGCTGCTGGCAGTTGGGGCCACTGCAATCTAGCCGAGAAACACTCACCATAGTTTTCAAGTCCTCTGGCCTCAGGGAAGGAAGCTGAAGGTCCAAATGACAAAGGCTTTGAAACCGGTCCACGAACTCACTGACAAGAACAGCAGGCTCACCCAATGGCAGCGTCCCAAATCTATCTGTGGGAGAATAGGCTGGGGGTCAGACGGGCTCTCTCATGTGGAGTATTCTGTGTCTAACCGTAGCTCCTGATGTGAGAAAGGCTGCCCTGCACGGTCCTCACTAGAGAGAGGACACAGGAGCCTGGAGCTGCCTTCTCTAGAGCGCTGGCTGGGAGGTTCACGCCAACGTCAGTGCTGTTACACAATACTGCTTTACTGTATTGAGCGATTGCTTATTTGGTGCCCCTTTCACTGGTGTATGGTCAGTCAGGAGTCCTGGAGTTCTGTGCTTACTGTCACTGCTAGTACCACTCATGTGCCTTTCAAAGGGAGCCAAGGCAAACATGGGCTGCTGCCTAACAGGTACAAAAGGGTTAGAATCAGGTAAATCATAGTCATGGCTTCTCTCTAATTCCTGTTAGATCCTCTGGAACTCACTATGTAGACCAGGCTGGTCTTGATCTTTTTTTTTTTTTTTTTAACTTTTGGAGACACGGTTTCTCTGTGTAGCCCTGGCTGTCCTGGAACTCACTCTGTAGATGAGGCAGGCTTCAAACTTAACAGAAATCCGCCTGCCTCTGCCTCCTGAGTGCTGGGACTAAAGGTGTGCGCACTACAACCTGATGTAACTCTTAACTCTCAATTCTCTTGCCTATAACAACCGAGTTCACACTATCTACTTTGAAGGGCCCACGGAAAGATTCAGAAGGCTACCAAAATACACCTCTCTCTGTCTCTGTCTACCTCTCTCAGAGCTGGCAGGACAAACACACCTGAAAAACTTAAGTAATAAATGTAAAATGCAAGGTCTCGAAAAGCACAAACATTAGAAAAAAAAACAACTTCAAAGATCACAAGAAAATGGGCACTATCAGAATTATGATGACCCACTGGGCGGAGGGGGCACACGCCTTTAGTCCCAGCAATTGGGAGGCAGAAGCAGACTGATCTCTATGAGTTTGAGGCCAGCCTGGTCTACAGAGGGAGTTCCAGGACAGCCAAGGCTATACAGAGAAACCCTGTCTTGGAAAGCCAAAATAAGTAAATAAATAAAATATGATGACAGAAGAGCAAGGGTAGATGGGAATCCTCAATGTGCACCTGGAGAGGGGCTGTCTGGCCAAAAGCAGAACTTCTCATGGGCACTGCACAAAGATTTCTTGAGCTCAGCACATCGTTCCTTATCTGAAAGCCAAAAAGTAGCAATTATTATACACCATACAGATTCAAAATCAAAATAGCCAAGAGTCTTTTAGAGAACAAACCTACCCACACATACACTTCAATAATTAGGACATTTTGTTTGTTTGAGACGGGGTTTCTCTGTGTGTAGACTTGGCTGTCCTGGATATGCTTTGTAGAGCAGGCTGGCCTGGAACTGAAGCAATCAGCCTGCCTCTGCCTCCATCAGTGCTGGGATAAGAGGTGTGTGCCACCGTGCCCAGCTGAATTTTTTTTCTTTTTTAAAGATTTATTTATTTATTTTATGTATGAAAGTGTTCTATCTGCAGGCCAGAAGAGGGCATCAGATTCCAATATCATAGATGGCTGTGAGCCAAGATGTGGTTGCTGGAAATTAAACTCAGGACCTCTGGAAGAGCAGACAGTGTTCTTAACCACTGAGCCATCTCTCCAGTCCCTAAATGGTACACTTTAAAATATAAAAATAAGGCAGGTGTGGTGACACACCCCTTAATCCCATTACTCAGGAAAAACCCTGTCTCAAAAACCAAAAGGCAAACCTTCTGCTGGTGTGAGGGAGGTACGCCGTGCACCTCGGAAGGTCTCCTACAGTGGACCTTCAGGACATCCTCTCTTTGCTCTGAAAGTCCACATTTGGGGTTAAAAGGTAATACTGTTGTCTGTCTAGAGTGCACATCAAGGCCACTCAGGGCAGAACAACTGAGGCTAACAGGGTGAGGACCATCGCCTCTTCACCCTGCACACCTCCTGGCTGCGGAGGAGTTAGTCTGTCCTGTGTGCTCACATCTGCTGAAGTCCAGAGCTGGCTGTAAGCTGGCACAGAGGAGAGCCTGGCAGCTGGAGCACCTGAGCAGGTCACATTCCACGGCGACCCAACCATATCTTGCGCAGATAAGTGGAGACAGCTCGGGGGGCTTCCCTGCCCATTTCAGAGAGTATTCGAGTCAAAGAAAGCTGTGCATATGAAATCCAAGCCCAATTAAAACACGAGCACATTCTTAACAAATCCAGGAATACATTCATTAAAAGCAGACAGTGAAGAAAACGGCAGACTTAATTTTCTGGATGTGTGTGTGTGTGTGTGTGTGTGTGTGTGTGTGTGTGTTGTAGGCATGTATGTGCACCTGTGTGCATGTGGCACACATGTATGTGGAAGGCTGTGGTGGACATCAGGGATCTTCTGCAACTGCTGCCCACTTTACACACTGAGGGAGAAGGGTCTGTGAGCCCAGAGCTCGCTGTTTCAGCTGCTCTGGGGGGCTGGCGAGGCAGCTCAGATGTCAAGGGCACTGGCTGCTCTTGCACAGGACCCAGCTTCAGGTCCCAATGCCCACCCGGTGGCCCAAAAGCCACCCGGAAGTCCAGCTCCAGAGGCTCTTCTTCTGTGCACACCAGGCACACACGTGCTAGCTGGCCAGCCAGCTAGCTCTAGGATCCTGGCTCCGCTTCCTGCATGCTGGCATCCCAGTATGCAGCCATTTCCACTAGCTTTTCTGCGCATTCTAGGATCCTAATTTGGTCCTCACGCTTAGGCAGCAACCGCTTCATCCACTGTCTTCTCCCTAGCCCCTCCGCTCTGTTTCTGGGCGAGCGTTCGCTCCATAGCCCAGGCAGGCCTCAAACTTCTAAAATCCTTCTAAAGGTGCGAGCCATCATTCCAGCTGCTAAACACCATCTTTCTATTCATTTGTTTTTGAGATTCATTTCACATATGTATTTTGCCTGCATGTCTGCCTGTGCACCTGCCTAGAAAAAAAACAAAAACCAAACCAAACCAAACCAAACTGGGCCCGAGAGATGGCTCAGGAGCTGAGCACACCTGTGGCTCTTTTCTAGAGAACCTGTTTTTGTTTCCAGAACATACGTCTGGTTGCTCACAGGTGCCTGTAGCTGCTCTAGACACCTTCCTCGGGCCTCCTTGGGTATCCCACCCACCCCAGATGGTGTACACAAGCAGATACATAAATTAAAAAACAAAACTACAGGCTGGAGAGAGGGCTCAGAGGTTAAGAGCACTGGCCGCTCTTCCAGAGGTCCTGAGCTCAATTCCCAGCACCCACAGGGTGGTTACAACCATCTATAATGAGATCTGGTGCCCTCTTCTGGTGTGAAGGTGTACATGCAGATATTGTATACATAATAAATAAATACATTTGAAAAAAAAGAAACAAGCAAAACAAACAAAAATTCAGTCAGTCCTAACTGCCTACTTGCTAGCAGGATGGCTTAGGCAAACCATGTAGCCTACTCTAATGGCCCCTCTTCTGTCTGTCTGTCTGTCCTTTTGCTCTCATCTGTAAAATGAGCCTAACAGAGCCAGGAACACAGCTCAGTGGAAGACTGCCTGCCTGCCATACATGAGGTCTGATTCTTAGCACTGGCCTCACCAAACCAAACCAAACACTAAAAAGCAGTATGGCAGGCTGGAGAGAGGGCTCAGAGGTTAAGAGCACTGGCTGCTCTTCCAGAGGTCCTGAGCTCAATTCCCAGCACCCACACGGTGGCTCCCAACCATCTGTAGTGAGATCTGGTGCCCAGGTGGACATGTAGGTAGAACACCATGTACATATTACAGAAATATAAAAATACTTATTTTCACAGGAGTTGAAGATCAAAGATTAGAATACATGTGAAAATGTACTACACACAGGCATTGGCAGCTACTCCTCCTCTCAGGCCTTTCAATCCTTTTTCCTTCTATAAGGAGAAAAGGTTAGGTGGGTACAGTGGCTCCCACCCATCACCCTAGCATTCGGGACGAAGGCAGTATGAAGATGGTCTTGGGATGCAAGTTCCACAGGGTCTCAAAACAAAACAAATCAAGCTGGGTGGTGGTTGAGCATGCCTTTACTGTCAGCACTTGGGGGACAGATGCAGGCAGATAAGGACTTTCCCATGAAATTATCAACTCCGATTCTTTGGTTTGAAAGATCAGAGTGAGCGGTTGGAGATGGCTCAGCAGTTAGGAGCACTGGCTGCTCTTCCCACATGGTGGGTGACAAGCACCGGTAACCCCATCCCAGAACCCTGCAGGAACTCCATGCACTTGGGGCAAACGGACAGCCAGAACACCCACACACACTACAACAGCGAGCACACAGGCTCTGGAGCACCAGCCCTGCAGCCGGTATAACCCCCGAAAAGGATATAGAAAAGGTCTCCACTCTGTGAAAAAAGGCTTCTTTGCTGGTAGATTCCAACGGAGGCTGTTCCGCCTGAGGCGATCCATCCACTGGCTGGAATGTGGCAGGTGTGTCCTTTCTGAAACCAAGCAGCAGGCCTGTCAGTGACCTCTTCTGAGTCTAGCTATTGCACACACAGCACAAATCAAACCTGAACTAGAGTTTACGTTCCTAACCATCATTTCGACTGCCACCAGTTCAGTCAAGCCATTCCTCTGCTTAATACATCCCACAGCTTCATAACACTTTATTTATTAAATAGAGTCTAGATTCTTCTGTCTGGGAACCACAGCCCTTCACAGCTTAGGCAGACTCTCTTAGCTCCATCACGGTTCTCCGGCAATATTTTGCGTGACTTTAGACTGTGAGAATCCCACCTCACGGACCCTAATTAGTAGTCAGCTTTACTTATCCAGCCAACAGTCAGCTCCCTGAAGAAAGGTTTTAAAATACCATTTCGCTAGTGTTGCGGCGTCAGGTTCATCCGGAGGCTACTGAAGCCGAGCAGTCAGATCTCATCAACAACTCAACCCCTCCACCGAGCCACGGATTCCTCCACCCGAGCGCCCCCCTTTACCCGCTGCGCCCCCCGGCCCCTGCCCCAGCCCATGTTCCCAAAGCCACGCCAATCTTCTAGCGCCCAGTCCCCAGGCGGGAGAACTCACGCTTCTGCGCCTCCCTCCTCCGGGACAATTCCCTCATCTATCAGCTGCTGGACCTTCTGGGGTGTCCCTTCAGGGGAGCGGACGACCGCGCCCCAGCTCTTTTCGATCCCGGAGGCGAAGAGCTGCCCCTCAGTGGGAGCCTCCATCTTGGTCCGTCCCAGAGTTGTGTCCCCCGCGCGCCGGGAGGCTCCGTAACTTCCGTTCTGCGCTAAGACCCGCCCCCCTTGCATCTCGAAATATGACGTCATGTCCTACCCTTTCCTGGTTAGCTAAAAGTATTTAAGGATTTATAGTGTTTAAGACTGTACATAGGTTATTTGTTTTTCTGATGAACTAGCATATTTAGGTTAATAATTTTTTTTTGAGACAGGGATTCTCTGGGTAGCTCTGGCTGTGCTGGATTTGCTTTGTGGACCAGGCTGGCTTTGAACTCATAGAGATCCGCCTGCCTCTGCCTCCCAAGTGCTGCTATTAAAGGCATGTGCCACCACTGCCCGGGTATTTTATTTTATTTTATTTATTTGCTTTTGGATAGAGGGTTTCCTATGCAGTCTCTGAATTCAAGAGATCCGTCTGCCTCTGCTTCCTGAATACTGGGATTAAAAGCATGCACTACCACCACAATCATCAGTCAATAAATGAAATTTTAAAAAGGGAGGTCTCTCTAGATTCAGCAGGGATAAAGGCGCCAATTGCCAGTACGTCATACTGACTCTCAAAATTTACGTTGTTTTCCAGGTAAGAAACAGCAGTCTTTAGTGGAGAACAAATAATTTGAAACTCTTCATAGGAGTGTGTTACGATTGGAAGAAGTCCGTGTCTTTGACACCATCCTCCCTTCTGCAGCAAACATGCATTAACTATTGACTTCATATACTGGAACTGTCGATAAAATAGTGAACAAGAGAGCTGTACACAGTTTTGCTGTGGGTAGTGCTAGGCGTGGGGGCAGTGAAGCACACAGCCTCACACAGGCCAGCTAAGATCTTCCACTGGGCTATATCCCCAGCCAGACACAGTGGTTCTCAGCAGAGTTGGTCATCAAGCATGTTTGCCTGTCTTGCTGTTTGTTCATTTTTCTGTACCACTTAATGAAGCAAGGCCTTAACTCCGGCGCTCTACCACTGAGCTTAAGCCCTAGGCCCTTCCTATAGTTTTAAAATTATGATTATACATGCTCTGAAGAAGGCCCACTGAGGACTTAATTTGGTTGCAGAGTCTCTAGAAAATTAGCTGTTTGATGCCTCTGCCGCGCGACAGAGACAGAAGTATTAGAAGCAGCAGGCCAGGCTCACCTACAGAGCTCAGGGCCAGCCTTGGGTACATTTTCAAAGGCTGTGAGCCTGGAGGGAAGACTCAGCAGTTAACCGCGTTTGCTGTTCTTGGTGGAGGACCTAGATTCAGCTCCCCGCACCATACTATGGCTCGTAACCATCCTCTCTTCAGTTCCAGGAGCTCAGGGGCTTTCTTACAGCCTCCAAGGGCACACGGTGCACACACATGCACACAGGCAAAACACTCATACATATTAAATAAGTGAACCTTTAAAAAGTTTATTTTAAAGGGAGGTGGGGGTGGGCTGCACAGAGGGCTCAGAGGTGTAGAGCGCTGTCTGCTCTTCCAAAGGTCCTGAGTTCAATTTCCTGCACCCACGTGGTGGCTCACAGCCATCTGTAATGAGCTCTGGTGCCCTCGGCTGGTGTGCAGGAATTCATACAGGCAGAACACTGTACACATAATAAATAAATAAATAAATAAATAAATAAATAAATAAATAAATAAATAAATAAATCTTTAGAAATGAGGGCGAGGTGGGTAGCTAGAGAGGCATCTCAGTGGTTAAGAGCACTGTCAGCTTGTCTGTGCCTGCAGAAGACCTGGCTTTGGCTCCTGGCACCCATACTGGGTAGCTCATAACCACCTGTAATTCAAGTTCCAGGGAATCTGATGCCCTCTTCTAGCTTTTCCAGGCTCAGGCACACAGGTATACACACAAAACAACTTATTTTTTTCTTTTAAAGAACACTTTTTTATAGAGCAACAGAGGTGGTGTGTATGTGTGTGTTGTGTGTATGTGTGTGTTTGTGTGTGTTGTGTATGTGTTGTGTATGTGTGTATGTATGTGTGTTATGTGTGTGTGTATGTGTGTGTGTGTGTGTATGTGAACCCCAGTCTTTTTTTTTTTTTGCTTGTTTTCATTTTTGAGACAGGGTTTCCCTGGTTGTCTTGGACTCACTCTGTTAGACCAGGCTGGCCTTGAACTCACAGAGCTCTGCCTGCCTCTGCCTCCTTAGTGCTGGACTACAGGTGTGTGCCACCATGCCTGGCAGAACCCCAGTCTTAGTATTGAAGTGGATGAGATTGTTGGGAAGAAATGTGAACCTTCAGCTGAAAGTCTGCTGTGCAAGAACAGTGAGCAAAGAAGAGCTTTCCCAAGCAGTGGAGCATCCAGGGCGGCCAGAGCTCTGTTGGCAGAATGTTATTGTGCCCTGGGTACAGTTTACCCTGATATCATTCAAATGCTGATTTCCCTTTCTCATTATCTGGTTTCAATCTGGAAACAGCTTTGTTATGTTTATTCTAAGCATCTCCTGTTTGTATACATATTGTTCCTCCTTCCTTCTCTACCTTGCCAATAAAATTCTGACCAGCCAATACTGAGCTATAGAGAGAATAAGGTGGGACACTGGGGTCCAGAGAGGGGAGGAGAGAGAGAAAGTGGGGGCTGAGGACAGGTTCAGGGAACATCAGGAGAAGAGAACTAGAGCCTCACAAGTATTATGAGGGTTCTGGCTGGGAAGAAGCCACACTGATTGGGAGGTTTAGGATTAGAGTAATAATTGCTCAGTACTGTGCTCAAGGCTGATTTAAAAAATCATAGTCTCCCTGTGTTATCTTGGTAACTAGTTGGCTAAAGATAAGCTGCCATCATTCTAATTTCATGCATTTATATTTATATTAATAATCACTTTTGTTTGCTTTTTCAGACAGGGTTTCTCTGTATAGCCCTGGCTGTCCTGGACTTGCTTTGTAGACCAGGCTGGCCTGGAACTCACAGAGATCTGCCTGTCTCCCTGACTGCTGAGATTACAGGTGTGCGCTACCATGCCTGGCTTCAAGGACTATTCTCAAAAATCTTTTTATGAGGGGAAAAACATCAAATCTACTTTTTTTTTTTTTTTTTTTTTTTGAGACAGAGTTCTTCTTTGTAACAGCCCTGGCTGTTCTGGAACTCCATTTGTAGACCAGGCTGGCCTTGAACTCACAGAGATCTACCTGCTTTTGCCTCCTGAGTGCTGGTATTAAAAGAAAAGGTATGTGCCATCCTGCCCAGCTTCATATCTACTTTTTAAAAACTAGAGTAAGAACAACACAATGAGCTCTGGGGACCCATTACTCAGTAAACCTCAGTTTTTAGCAATCCTAATCTGAATCATCACTGCTCTCCAGTATCGTCCACTCACCTTACCACATCCACAGCCATCGCTCAGAGCCACTAAGCCACCTTTCCAGACCTCTCTAGTTTTATCTATAAATATTTCCACATCATTATCTGTATTAGCTGGGTAGTGATGGGGCATGCCTTTGTAATCCCAGCACCCAGGAGACAGAGGCAGGGGGATCTCTGAGGTCGAGGCAAGCATGGTCTATAGACTGAGTTCCAGGACAGCCAGGCTATGCAGAGAAACCCTGTCTTGAATCCCACCTCCAATTTTTTATGTCTATGCATTACCGTTTTTAGATATGACTGTGTACCATGTTCATGAACGTTGACCACAGAGGCTAGAAGGGAGTGTCAGGTCTCCTGGAGCAGCAGTTCCAGGTCACAGATAGCCGTGAGCACCATGTGGGTCCTGTGAATGGAGAACAGGTCCTCTGAGAGGCAGCCAGAGCTCTTCACTGCTGAGCTCCCCCTCTTTGGAGACAGTATCTCACTAGGGAGCTCTGACTGGCCTGGCACCTACGTAGACCAGTCTAGTCTCCAGTCATACAGATCTGCCTGCCTCTCCTCCCGAGTGGCTACCGTCGAAGGTGTGCACCACCATGCCCAGCAGCTTTTCACAGCTTGTTTATCTTTATTTGTGTGTATGTGCAGATGCCTGCACAGAGTTATGTGCATTGCAGAAACTGAACTCCAGACAGTTGCGAGCTGCCTGACGCGCTTGCTGGGAATCAAACCTGGCTCCTATAGAATAGCTGTAAGCACTCTTAACAGCTGAACCATAACTCTTAAATTAAAACAAAACAAAACAAAAACCCAACAAAAACGAAAACCCACTGTGTCCAGTTGGTGTTCTCCACATCTGTGTGACTGGGCAACTACCAGCGGCCACACCCTCGAAGAAAAATGACCCTCCTCCGGTAACCATCACGAGTCCGTAGTTGTTCATAGCTCCTCAGCTGGAGGTAGAGTCCACACATCCCGTTGTCTGTCGGGTGTCCATCAGCTCGATCGCGTGCGTGCAGGCAACACAGCAGATCGTCTTCAGGTGCAGCGAACAGTATTTCCCAGCACTGGGCCCATCTTTCAGCTTCTACATCCTCTCTGCCTTTACCCACTGAGCCGTTTCTCTGGGACTGGAGTTACAGGTGATTGTAAGTCATCATGTGGGTGCTGGGAATCAAATCCAGGGCTTCTGGAAGAGCAACCGGTGCTCTTAACTGCCAGGTCATCTGTCCACCTGGGGAGGTACAAGTCTTCGGAAAAAAACACTCATTTTGTTTATTCGTATTTTAGAACCGAAGGCTGATTTTTGGGGCACTCTCACATCTCACAGAGCGGCTTTAAACTCACTACCCAGCCAAGGCACTTGACTCTGGGAGCCTCCTGCTCCTCCCAGTGGACTGCTGGGCAGGGACCCCAGGCAAGAGCCACCACACTGGAGTTCTGCTTGCTCCTGCCTTTTTTTTAAGATTTAATTTTATGTGGCAGGGTGTTTTGCCTGCATGTCTGTCTGTTCATCACTTGCATGCCCAGCGCCTGGAGGTCCTAAGAGTGTCTCATCCTGGGTTAGGAGTTACAGATGGGTGTGAGCTGTTAGATGAGTTCTAGGAGTCAAACTCAGGTCCTCTGGAAGACCAGCCACTGCCCTGCACCCATTTTGGGTTTTTCTTTGTTTGTTTGGGACATTATTTTATGCAGCTAAGGTTGGCCTTAAACTTGCTA